GTTCACAAAAAGATTTATATATATATATACAATTTCATTATCATCATTTTTAAGTTTTTTACTTAATCTGTTTTTAAATAATTTTCCGTGATAAATTTTTAATTAAAACCTTCAGACTTACTCACAGCAACAAAAGCAGCCAGATCGTCTTCTTATATCGTATATTATTTAATAAATAAACTGTGAGTGAAGCTATGCATTCATAATTATAATTATAATAGAAAAGATAATTGTAGAAATAGAAATAAAATGTTTAAATATTTACACCTCCGTTAGTTTTGGTTCAAATTCCGTCACCAGCTACCGTGTGTATGGGTTCAAGCGACTTTGATAAACATAATTTTAAATGCATTCATTTATACATGCTTGCATATATAGATATCTACATACATACATGCACCTTTGTATTTAATTTGCATATAAAAGTGTTTAGTGTTGTTGTAGCCGGTCGATTATTGTTTCGCAGTGATGACACTAAGGAGCAATAAACTGATATTGGCAATTTTTACTTCTGCAGATAGATAATGCCTTAAGGTCTGACATGCATTACATATTCATTGTTCCACCTAACTGCCATTCACTTTTCAACTAACTACAACAATAGTGCTTATGAGTTTATAATACACATAGCATTGTGTGGCGTTGTGCTAATTAAATGCGCGCCAACTTGTAGTTGTTGTTGCTTGCCTAATTTAGCATGTGGGCTGGTAAAAAACGTTCGCAAAACGTGTCGCTGAAAATTAAAAACAAAATGCAAAATTTTATACCAACTTTTTGCCGTACATACATATGTAGATATGTATATTTACAATGCGCAAAGATATGGTATTTGAAGATATGCTTGGGCGTATACGTAATTAGAAGGAGGAAGCTAATAAATAGCGAACTTTCTTATGTTCCATTTCAACTTTTATTGTTGCTGTACAGAAAGAATAAATATTTGTGCTGTACTTAGATCTAAAAAAGATTAAAAATGTAAATATTATGATTTACCTCTGTGATATGATGATGCGTCTTACTCGAGCGCGCTGCCATCCATCAACAAAACTGATAAGCTCAATAAGAAATTTAATTAAATTTTTCAAAATTTAACTTAAATAAAATTAATTAAAAATAATCTGATTAAATTTTTGTGTTATTAAACGACCTACTTCTACTAAATGACGTACAAAATTGGTATTTTTTGTAGACCATAGCATAGTATTCTATATAGATTTTAGATCAGTTCTCAAATTTTAATTTAGATAGGTTAGTTAATCTTGTGAATCTTATGGAAAGAAAACAAAAAATAAACGTTAACTTCGGTTACACTAAGATTAAAATATGTTTCACAAATAAAAAAGTTTACATACAGGAACTTGATTCTGATCGATCGGTTTGTATGGCAGCTATATGCTACAATATATTGAAAAAAAAATAACAAAATAGTTATTTATTTTCACTTATATTTTTGAGTAATGACTCCCGAGCTTGAAAAGTCATGTCAGGAAAAAGTTTTTTTAATATCTTGTTTAGACTAATATTACATTATAGAATTTTTTTATAATT